TATAAATGATTAATTATGTGCATTTTATCAATATTTCAGATTAATATTATATTAATGTAAGGCTATGTGCAGGAAGGGTTGACTTCAAACTAGCTGGTGACGTCTGTTACGGAGGCTGCTCTTAATTACGGGGTGACTAGATGGCGATTGCAACAGCATGTATAAAGCATGTCACATCAAGAGTTAGTCTGCCTGTATTCTTACTATACGACACGAAAATGTGATGCAGTTATTCCTAAAAGTCCTCTCGCAAAGCAATGTCGTTCCTGTTGTTGTGACTAATCCTTAGTGTCCGGCAACACAGGACCGACACCCTATGTGTAGTCTAGTCATGGATGGAGGGGAAAAGGGCAGCTTCTGTTATATGGAGCACCCGTAGGTAGAAATCTGACTTTGCTCCGAGTCGCTGAAGAAGGAAGGCAAGGTCTGGACGGAGCGACTAGATCGAGATTATAACAGCAGTGCATGATGTAACTGTGGTTCTACCTACCGTATTCCTTCTACGCACTGCAGGCGGCCTGCTAGTCAATTGGCTAGCGCTCTGGCCTTTGGTACCACAGGCTCCAGGTTCGAATTCAGGCAGTGGCATGGGTGTTTGTCAGTGGTTCGGAATCCACATTAAACTGCAGGTCCCGATCTGTTTAGCTCTCGTGTGCACAAGATGACCGTACAGCAACAAGTCCGACCAAACCAAACCTACGCACTACAAGAGCGCCCCTTGCGGCGTCCCGGGGAAAAGTTGAGTTGGCATCGAACCTCCCGTCCGAGAGGATGAACTGCGCTGAATGAAAATCTCTCATCCCGAGAGCTAGAAGCGGAATCCTTCTACATAAATATAAATATGTGACTTTAAAGATGTTACCGTTGTACAGTAATCTTTGTAGTGTGTTGTGTTCGTGTTTGTGCGCTTGTAATTAAAGTGGTGTGTTTTCTTAAATTAGTATCCTGACTACAGCCAGATCCAGCTGCATCAACAACAAAACAACGACATATACTACAATGCTTAAAAATGATTTTTCATCATATTTATAATCAGCAAGCTCTTCGTAGGTAGTTAGCGGCTTGATGGCCAATTGAATAGCGCTCTGGCCTTAGGTACCACAGGCTCCAGGTTCGAATCTTAGTGGTGGCATGGATGTTTGTGATTGGTTCGGAATCCCTGTTAAACTGTAGGTTCCGGTTTAATTAGCCTAAAGTGTGCACAAGAAGAGCGTAGAGCGACAAACCAAACCAAATCTTAGGTACTTGATAAATAAAAAAAGGGTAATAAAATCTTAAATGTTTTTCAACTTTAAAATGAATTCTTTACCAATTAATTTTAATATCCAAAATCATTTCATATATATTTTTTTAATTTTCTTAAAAGTTATTTAGTTCATACCTGAATAAAATACTGGTGCCGCCCCCCCCCCGGTCCCCTTTTAAATTCATTTGTGCCTCCTTTCATTCGTGCCTTACAGTTAGAGAAGCCTTATCGTCATCGTTTAATCTACGCTCTTTTTTTCCCTGCAACTGCCACTGAAGGATTTATGAGTGTAGTTATGGGGTTCCATCTCCCTTTCCCCTAAAACTCATCATAGAATTTCGCAAAGTTTTTCTCACATTATTTTCCTAAACACTACACTATATTTTCAAACCTGTACATCCTCTATTGCGTTACATCTTTTCCGGTTTTTATTCTCCTGCTGCCTTATGAAGTCTTCGAGCGCGCTATTTGGACATTCTAAACGTTTAAGTGTGATTAAAGTAATTATTACCTTCTCAACCAATTTTTGACAGTAAAAACCTAATTATTTTATTGCTTCTAATTTCTGATTTATTGCATCTTTATATTTTTAATTTTCTTTCCCTTACATCATTTTATAAAGCTGTTAATTGTACCATTGGGGAACACTGGGTTGGGTTTAATTTAAATAAAGCTTTTAATACTATTAACTCATTATAGAATAAAGAAAAAAATATGTAATTTTTTTAATCCTTTAAAAATTAATATTTACCCATGCTTTCAACATTTTTAGTTCCTACAACTATTAATATGAACATTCTAGGTTCATTAATAACTTTAATTATTTCTTAGTGTATATTGAGTGTTTAGATGTGTTTCTTAGATTATTTTAGTAGATGAAGTACCAATTTTGTAAATGACTGTGTATTTCATAATATCATACTTATTCATATATATATATATATGATATTTGGTACACTTACAACATAAAACTAATTATTTCAATAGTTATACACTGAAGTGACAAAAGTCATGGGATACCTCTTAATATCGTGTCGGCCCTCCTTTCGCCCGGCGAAGTGCAGCAACTCGACGTGGCATGGACTCAACAAGTCGTTGGAAGTCTTGTGCAGGAATATTGAGCCATGCTGTCTCGATAGACGTCCATAATTGTGAAAGCGTTGATGGTGCAGGATTTTGGGCACGAACAAACCTCTCGATGATGTCCCATAAATGCTCGATGGGATTCATGTCGGGTGACCTAGGAGGCCAGATCATTCGTTGGAATTGTCCAGAATGTTCTTCAAACCAATCGCGAACAGTTGTGGCCCGGTGACATGGCGCATTGTCATCCATAAAAATCACATCGTTGTTTGGATACATGAAGTCCATGAATGGCTGCAAGTGATCTCCAAGTAGCTGAACATAAGCATTTCCAGTCAATGTTCGGTCCAGTCGCACCAGAGGACCAAGTCCATGCCATGAAAAAACAGTCCACACCATTACGGAGCCACCACCAGCTTGAACAGTGCCTTGCTGACAGTTTGGGTCCATGGCTTCGTGGGGTCTGCGCCACACTCGAACCCTACCATCAGCTCTTACCAACTGAAATCGTGACTCATCGGACCAGGCCACGGTTTTCCATTCATCTAGGGACCAACCGATATGCTCACGTGCCCACGAAAGTCGCTGCAAGCGATGTCGTTCTGTCAGTAAAGGCACTCGAGTCGGTCTTCTGCTGGAATAGCCCAAGAAAGCCAAATTTCTCCGCACAGTTCCAACAGACAAGTCCCTTGTACGTCCCACATTGATTTCTGCGGTTATTTGACGCAGTGTTGCTTGTCTGTTAGAATTTACGACTCTTTGCAGACGTCGCCGGTCTCGGTCGTTAAGTGCAGGCGGTCGACCACTGCGCTGTCCATGGTGGGATGTTATGCCTGAAATTTCATACTCTCGGCACACTCTTGACACAGTGAATCTGGGAATGTTGAATTCCCTAACGATTTCCGAAATGGCATGACCCATGCGTCTAGCTCCAACTAACATTCCGCGTTCAAAGTCTGTTAATTCCCGTCGTGCGGTCATCATCACGTCAAAACCTCTTCACATGAATAACTTGAACAGAAATGAAAGCTCTGCGAAAGCACTGCGAATTTATACCTGTTCTACGCGATGCTACTGCCATCTGAAAATTTGCATATTGCTATCCCATGACTTTTGTCACTTCAGTGTATAAAACGTGTTTAATTATTTTCATACGTTCATATTTAACCATACAGAATAATTCCTTAAATAAAAGTTTATTTAAGAAATAATAATTAAATGGAATAATCAATTAAATAATTAGATAGAACTAATTTTTAATAGATAAAGTACCAAATATTTCATTTTATAAATGACTGTGTATTTCATGATATCATACTTATTGGTACATTTACAACAGAAAACTAAATATTTCAATAGTTATATTAAATGTGTTTAATTATTTTCACATTGGTATTTAACTATGTTTAAATATGAATGTATGAAAATAATTTCTTGCATAAAAGTTTATTTCAATAGGGTTTTTCTTTTCCCTTTTGTGTATTTTGTGAACCACAATTTATAGAAACTTTGAAGAAATTTGCGTGCATTAAAAGAAAAGTAAAATGCGCATTTGTTAACCAAAATTAAAGATTTTGTAATTATTATTATTTACAGAAAAAAACAATTGTTGTCGTTTTTTTCTTCTATAAGTAAATCTAATTTATTTTATTTATTTTTTACTTCAGTGAATATCGAGAAACAAATCATGCGAGTATTGTAAGCTTCACTACAGCCATGATTAACTGTAAACGAAATTTGTAAGATGGCATTGAATAAATTTTCTTTAAACTGTATCTTTATTACTATGTCGGTATTAGTTCTGCATTGTTCTAAACTATATATCATGAGCTCTTTTAAATATAGACATGCCAGAAGCTTTTTAATTTTTTAAAGCGAATAAATGCCAAAAGAAACTCTTAAATATTACTATTTAAAAAACGTACTATGTTATATCATTAATGGATTGAATTTCATATTACATATAAAAATCAACCCATCAATTGGAATAAATAAACAAAGCACATTGTAATTCTTGATTAGCACAGAACTTGGAATCCTTATATCACTCATATCAAAAATTTAACACGAAATTTTTGTAAATTATCATTCAGTAATGAATCGAGCTACAAAATTGCTTATTTACACAGTAGTTCTGAGAACCCTTCTTTTTATCTCCCTTATATTAAAATACGGCCTAATAGTCCCTAATTGGTATAGGTTCCAGGTTCGAATCCTGGCGGAAAGTACTTCATCTAAATTGCGAGCATAGTGTATTAGGCCCTCGTGATCATCCTGAATGCCTCGCATACCTGTAGTTCAAAGCACAGATGACTTTAGTAGGCTATATGGCGTTAACATCCCAAAAAATGTTTTATTGTTTTAAAAATACATCGAGTATTATGTTGTTGTTGTTGTTTCTTATCCCACTTGGCTGGCCAAGCCCACGAGCCCATATGGACTCATGATTGAAGGGGAAGGAAGCAGCTTCTGTTGTGATGGAGCACCCGTAGGTAGAAGCCTGACTTTTGCTCCGTGACGCTCTTACAGTCATAGGAGACCGGGGCCTACGGCTTAAAGTGGATTCCGAACCACTACAAACATCCATGGCACCGCCGGGATTCGAACCCGAAACCTGTGGCACCGAGCGCCAGAGCGCTAGACACTCGGCCATTCAGGTCCCAAATTTGCCAACGGCACGCGGTGTTCCCAGGTGGTCACCCACCCAAGTACTGGCCGCGCCCAATGATGCTTGACTTCGGTGATTCGAGTATTATAAACTCCTATAAATCTTTATGCAGCTTGATAGTCATTTCGCCAGCACTGTGGCCTTTGGTACCACAATTATCAGCTTCGAATCCTGGTGGTGGTATGGATGTTTGTTAGTGGTTTGGAATCCACGTGCAATTGTAGGTCCCGGTCTGAGCCCAAAGTGTGAAAAAAATGACCATAGAGTGACAAACCAAACCAATCGAAAATCATTAGCATTCTCTAGAGGGGCCTTTTAAACCTCTATGCTGTTTTAGAAGCAATATATAAGTAAATTGCGCAGAATTTTAATGGCACAATGTTTTTTAATAGTCGTTGAATAATTAAATTTACATAATATCAATAAGATATATATAAAATTCAATAAATAATGCATGACAACAATCAGCAACGTAATTGATGATATAATGACTATAGTAATAAGGTTTTTATTGCGACGTTTAGATGATCAGAAATGTAGAAGATAAACATTGTTTCTTGTTTTGATTTTTTTTACTCAACTATTTTATCAAAGAAAAAGAGAATTTTTTTATCCTGAAAAAATTTTCACTGCGTATAGTAGACAAAAACAGTTTATCTATCTTCAGTGTTGTACTGCGGCCAGATGACCAATTAGTTAGAGATCTGGACTATGGTACCACAAGCTTCAGCTTCGAATCCTGGTGATGGCGCGAATGTTTGTGATTGGTTCGGAATCCACGTTTAACTGTAATTCCTGGTCTAATTAGCATAAAGTATGCAAGAAAATGACCATAGAACGTCAAACAAAGCCGATGTATAGGAATATGCTAAAAACATTCCTATGTATCCCCTGAATGCATAGCAAAGCACGTTATTAAGACAAATAATGGAAGTCAGTTGGTATATATGGAATAGTGCAATTATCATGTAATTGAATTTCCAACCTTAATTGATATAAAAAAATAGTGACTCATATTTTACTCATATTTTATAGTCATTTTACTCATATAAGTATCAGTGTATATATATATATATATAATCCTACTATCATTTCCATTGAAGCATACAATTCCAACGTGACTTGAGAACAACCTAAAGACATTCTAAAAGATCCAGACTGACTATTCTAATTCCATGGATGATTTTGGTTTGGTTTGTCACTCTACGGTCATTTTGTGCACATTTTAAGCTAATTAGACCAGGACCTACAATTCAACGTGAATTCCGAACCACTAGCAAACACTATGCGACCGCCAGCATTCTGAAGTACAGGCCAGAATGCTGGCCAATTGGCCATCAAGCCGCTTTAATTCCAGCAATAACACACATATTCACTAATGTAAAGGGATCTGTCTAAAACTTAAGCTGCAGTCACTTTTCTTTTTTTTAACAGATTATCCCGAATATACTCTTATCTCTTAGTTGTATCTTTTTTAGAACACCAACTGACCAAAAAATTTATTTTTAAATCTAGATTAAAACGAGTATTTTGTGACTCTTGTTTCTTGTATTACTATAAGGCAAACATGAGTTCTTACATGATATTGTACGCTGACAACAGTCATACGCAATTTCTTGATGTTTTACAAACATGTGATCCAATATAGGGTAGTGATAAGTGAGTACTATCTGTGCATCCTTTGCTTATGGCATAAAAGATAACTGTCTAAGTACTTGCCAGCTGCATTAGAACTAAAAAAATGTAAATTAAAAGGACACTATAATGTCTTAATAGTAATCTTAATAGAAACAAGCCCTTTGCAATGTACAACAAACACTTTGCACTTTCCTTTTACGAAGATATAAACAAAACCTTTATTTTTACTACGATTTAATCTTCCGCTGCTTATTTTCTGTCGTTTCATTTATCAAATTAACAACTCATAAATTTTCCTGCCACGATCTATCTATTACAACTGAATCAGTTAACTTACAGTTTATAATATGTTACCAACTCAACTACGTCCAAAACAAAACACATCCACTGATAAACTACTTTTCCCTAACCTGCTAACATAGTTTAAATTTCAATCCAGAATTTCGGATGAGCAAATTTTCCCTTTTTACCTCGCTGTTTTTAGACACCATGCTGTCATCTACCAGCATGAGAGTTGCGCAGGGCCACCAGTCCTTGCGAAACCGAAGCAACCGGTTGCCTGCCCTCAGTTATCTGCGAAACACAGGGTCGACACTTTCGAAACATTTGTTGTTATTCTCTGTGATAACGACGACGAATACGTTCTTCTTTTTATTTCCTCGTTTGATTAAAACAGGAACAGGATTTAATTTGTTTACCTTCGGACCGGGTATCACGTACTATTTCTATATCTGTCAGTTGAGGTTGAGGATTAAAAGCCAATTTTTTTTAATTACATATCTATATCGATTAATGTGTTTGTTTCTTCCGTGGGTCTGTTTTTCAATTCCTTCTATTAGTTCACACTCTCCCTATATATATATCTTGTTCAAATACTTTTTATTCATGAACTCAAGTTCAAATACATTTTTTTTGAACTTGTAGTGGATGACACTAGATGTTAATACGGGTTTTTCAAATATTAATTCAGTAATTAAATTTAATTAATTAATTTTAGTTTTTCGTAGATTTAAGATCCATATCCAATAGATGGCGCCAGATAAACTTAAAAAAATGAATGAAAATTATTTATAAAGGACTCTCTGCAATACAGTGAAAAAAAAGTAGGAATTGACTTTATATTAATTGTTATATTATTTTTTTTATATTAATTGTTTGCATTTTGCTTGGTAAAAAGAAAGATCCAAAGATTGAAAGTAAAAAAGAAAGATTTTGTTTCGGTCTGGTTGTGTTCCATTTCATTTAACAGCTTCGGTTCTGTCTTGTGATATTTATTGTTGTTTACAATTGTATTTTACTTTTTTTAATCACATTTCTTGTTTAGAGTACAAACAAATTAGCTCTATAAAAAGCCAAACTGAATTACCATTTTTATTATTTAATTAGTGGACCTAGCAATGTTTCACTTTTGATAAATCTGAAATTGAATGGAATTGAATCTTTGATAAAATTTTATCTTCGGTAGAGACTAGCTGATTCCGGAAACAGACAGACTACTTTTTCGTTTCCGTTAAGGATCGAGTTCCTTCAGGCGAATTCTTATATCTGAAGACTCCATCTCTCCCTATTTAATCCCCAATGTCAGATGTTCTTTGCATCTTTCAGCTCTCTCCAGAATCTTTATCCTCAGCTATACCCCCCCCTTTTTTTTTTTAAATCTACCCCTCTCTGTTTTTTATGTTGTCTTCGTCCAACTCTTCTTGCTTTTCATTCTATTTTAATTGGCCTATTGAACCTGAATCCAGGTTTCGTTTGGTTTATCGCTAGTTTGCACACTTTGGGTTAATTAGACCGGGAGCTACAGTTTAACGTGGATTCCGAACCACTCAAAGAAGTGATGGAAAGTTGAGGAACCTCTCATAATTCCAAGCGGACCAAGTGATGTAGTTGTTGCTCAATTTTGCTTTTTAACCATGCCACCGCCAAGATTCGAACCTGAAGCTTGTGTTACCAAAGGCCAGAGTGCTAGCCAATTGGCCATCAGGTCGCAAGAAGAATTAAAAGAGTTTTATAATACTTTATGTATTTTTAAAACAATAAGAACAACTTTTGGGGTGTTAATACCATATACCATACTGAAGTCATCTGTGCTTTGAACTACAGGTATACAGGACATTCAGGATGAGCAGGAGAGCACCCCTGTAGAGCCATTGGTATAAAGTGGAAATCTTTACATTAATTGCAAGAGGAGGATTCTCTGATCCCACGCTGATGCCGCCCACCCCTTTTTCACTACACAAATTCTAAGATGTGTCAACTCTTGATCTTCGTACCTCTTGCATGCGAACCAGAAGTTGAACATCAGAGGAGCCAAAGCACACAATCTGGTAAATTGTTATCTAGGTACCATGATGCCCCCAACTGGCTGTTGCCCATTAACCAGTCATGTATTCAAAGCGAATACCACTTGATCCTTTATTTTCGGCGAAAAACAATCCCAAGCCAGCTGTGATCAAAGGGTAGCAACGACCGGAAGCGGCCCTTTTTTTGATTTTTTTTAACCAACTCTGTCACAGGAAGGAGAAGTTTTCAAACTCATAACTATGCCAATATACATTCAAAACACTAATAAGAAGTGCATAAAAATTATTAATAATTGCACAGTAAACCTAAAAAAGGTTTTAAAATAAAATAAAGTTATAAAATAATTTTAACATACATGTCGACGCTATAAAAGAAGCATAATAGTCAATATACAATGAATTTAAATCAATTAAATTTCAATTATACACACACACACACACACACACACACACACA